TTGCAAACTCCCCAGACCTTACCGTTCAGTCAAACCAGATGCCTATTCCAGTGATCGGGTGAAACGGACTTGTTGACCTTTATGCTGTAACGCAGGCTGACAGAGGTAACAAAATGCCAACAGCTACGTACAACCTCAGTAGGTGAATGGAAATCACTAGGCGCAAGAATTGGAAGTTTCAGACTTGACCTTCCAAGAGGCTTTGGGTGCCGACTGCTGAAATATTTTATACTGGTATGAAGCTGTTATATTGTGCTCCCGGGTTTCAGGGGTATGAGGGTGTTGCTAAAAGTTATCCTTTTGTTTGTTATAAGCCGTCACACGAAATTGGAAAACTGCATGTCTTCTGTGTTCTGGAGGTATATTTCGCCTGTTCCTACGCTACGAGAGGCAGTTGATCATTTTGCTGGATAACTGCTGGCTGTGCTAGGTGTCTTCATTGGAGAAGTTCAAATCACATGCTGGTTTATTCTTGAAGGAATACGATTGTAAATGAAATCAGGGTAGTTGGGCCTTTCAATTGTTACAATGAAGGGTCACGATTGCAGTTTTGACCTCAAGTCAATCCGCCAATCACAGTGATTGAAGTCGGGAAGAAAATCGAAGAACAGCTGTTCTTTCGTCAAAACGGAGGGAATGAACGGGAAGAATTTGGAAATGGAGGGGAAACTTCGACATCGATGGGGGTGCTGTTTATGGAAGGCGTTAAAGAAGGGGAAAAAAAGGGAAATAGATTTTCAGGCGACAACGAGAGATAAAAGCCGACAACTAAGAGAAAATAAAGCGGATTTCAGGGGTAAAATCACCAAAGTAAACGTAAATGTGTTTACTTGTCTGCTTTTCACCTTTTCGACCCATGTCGACAAAACAGCGGAAAATCGGTTGTATTTCCCCACATATGTCGTTTAATTTTACAACTGGCCTTACCCCGTCATCTCTCTTTTTCGGCTTATTTTCCTACTTTTGGTCTGTACGGGAGTGGATATTTTTCCGTTTCAAAGCAGGTTGGCTGGTGCAAAGCATGTGAAAACTACTTTATCAGGCGAGTAGGCAGACGTACTACATCGAAGTATCCCGCAAGACGTAAAAGCGGACATAGAAAACCAGTTGGTTCTGACAAGCTGGAAAAAAAGGTTGGGTATTGGAAAGTGAATTTGAAATATGCTTCCTTTCATTCTCTTTCGGATTAATCCATGAGGCAACACTTACCAGGGAATGGTTCATTGCTGATGTACGTCTGGTGAAATGAAGGCAGCTGGGTTAACCCAATGAACTTCTGCGTTGGAAACTCCGTTCGAAGGAAGTTATGCTAAAATTGCACTCTTGGATAAATCTGTGCTAAATGTATGCGCACGTTTGTATTGTAATGAATGGCAAATTTTCTATTACTAAGTGAATCTTAGGGAACGTAAGCCTGAACAAGCCTTTAGGAAGTGGTGGAATCCACGCAAAAGTGTTCCGGCAGGCAGGTTATCCTCTGGTTGGAAACGGGTGGCTGTCGTCCCAATATATAAAGGTTGAAAAAAACTATTTCCCTCCAGCTATAGACCAATCTCCCTGATATTATTAGTGGTGAAGATCATAGAGAGAGTAATAAATGATTTACCCCTTGATTACTTACTGAGGAATTCAATCTAAAGCGGGCGTCAACATGGCTTTCTGCCTGGAACATCATGTAACTTTGAATAGCTGGACTCTCCCTGTTGAGCAAAGGGCGCCCATTCATATTAGTTTACTTGACTTTTCCAGGCCCTTTGATAGGGTGAACCATGTTATCCTGTGTAAGAAGGTTCAGTTCATATGAATACTTGGAAAATTAGCAATGTGGCCTAGAAGTTTTTTTTACACCAGGTTGCAGTCAGAGTTGTCTCCTCTTTATACGATTTGTTCTGGATACTGAGTAATGTACCTCAAAGCTTCTCTTCTAGATTCGATACCGTTTCTTGCTCTAATCAGTGGTCTGCCAGGATCTCTAGACCGTCATTTACCATTCTGTGCGGATGATCTGGAGGGGAACACAGGTGACATTGGATGCTTCGCCCCTCCAGGACCTACGAAAATCATAAATTAGGCTACAGATAACATGCTGCCTCTCAGCTCGAAGTGTAGGTAACAACTATTGTTTGGCAGCAGAATTCTCACATAAATCGGTGAGCGTTCAGGATGTATTCTAATTATCACGTCCCCGCATTTAGCAGATTTTGGCACTTACGGGTTGTGAGGCAACGTGCCAAGTGGCAGTGCTTGCTTGAATTGCCTGACATTGGTCTGGAGCCGTAATGAAGCAGAATTCATGAATTAATTTGTTTGACTCAAATAGGAGGGCTACGTAACATGCAGGCCCAAGTTATGTGTCCTCCCTAATGGTGAGCTGATGACGCTAAGTTAGTGACATTATGAGAAAATATATGACCCGTGCAACCTAAAGTTCACGGGAGCTGATTTCATCTGTGCTAATTTTTTCTCTACTACTACTAATTCCTTCTTTCAGCATGAAGCATGTACTACGTATCAAAGTAGACACCCACAGTAATATGATTGTTACCTAGACGCAAGTTTATTCAACAACGACTGCGGACACATACTCATGCTTGCGGTACTCACGCATAGTATCATTCACCGATTTCCGCTTACAATTACCAGCCCCTTTATTATGCGCGATGAAATTTAAGTGCCAAGTAGACGTAAGCAAGGGTATATTCGTAAGGAAGACGCGAGAAGTTCCTATTTGGCCATGTCTTCAATGAAAAGGTCTCCATACATCAATGTGCTTGAAGAAATGTCCTGGTGACAGAACCGTATTAGATGCAGCGCATAATCCCTGTGGGCCCGTGCAACGTGCTGACGTCAAGGAAGTAGAAAACTGAGTTCATCTTCCAGGAGTTCTCTTGCAGAATTTATTCATCCTAGCTGCAACGTCTGCGGCATATTCATCTCCAAATTTTTCTAGTGTCTTGTGGATATTTGACCGAATATTGCACATTTCACGGATTTACCTATCACATGGTTTCGCGAAGGAGACCGATGTGCTAGGCGAAACGTTAGAAACGTGTGACCAAGTCCAACGTCGACAATGCCGAAGAACACGATTGGCTGCGAAATTCAAATAGGCAATAAATAAATATGACGTACCTGTGAAACTAGGCTTCTTTAAATGCACCCGGAGCAAGCGTCTGCATGGATAACGACAAGTTGTATATGTTCCACCGGTGCATTCATATGATAGTCAATCACCTACAACAGTGTGGTCGTTGTCCATGGCGAAAATGTGGTCGCAGCCTTCATATTCTACGCACGTATTTCTTCTTCTTTTGAAATCCTGAGTAACCTTGTGGGCTGCAAATGGTGCTAGGTGGCTAAGAGGGAGAACTAATCCATTTGGACAGTCATATTCATAAGATTTAGACTGCGCGATAACAGCTTCGGCATATTCTTCTATACGAACTGCGTGCGTTCCAGTTTTACATCTTAAGCATACCCTATGTACGGCGTCAGATCTCCGTAGATACCTCTTCAGTTGTCTATGGGAACTTTCAACACGATTGTTTGTGTTATTCCCGAGAGTGAGGGCATCCCTGTTAAACGTCGCACTCCACATAGATTTTCTACTCAGCCAGTATCAATTGGTACAATCGGCTACTTCGGGGTCTAATCTGCTGATGATTCCGTAATACCTATAGAACCTGAGAAACTAGTACAACACAGTGATTACTTCCCAGTATATTCACATGACTCCAGAAGACACAAGTACGCTGTCACCATAAAATATTTGGTCCCGAACTTGTGCCATCATATCATTTTTCCTAACTCACTATTTTACACGAGGACCGGCATACATGCAACACACAAAGCGGTATGTTGGCTTGCATGTGAGTCACTTGGAAGGCAGGGATTTCTGCGCGTGACCAATCCATAATAAACGTCCGCGTCATCCTTGTCTGCCGCATAAGTTCTCGGAAACTATCCCCTTTTCAACTCTTTCCTCGTCCATACAAACAGCAGTTCCTTCTTCTGATGACTCCAAATGGAGGTCAGATGCACACTCAAAGTCCTGTGATACAGATGGGCTGAACTTAAGGAGCCAACCCTCATTTTACAGGCCAAATGTCGCAGCGCCACAGATGCCATCTGCCGCTTGTTGGATCTTGGTTGTGGCGCAAATCTTAGAAGACATATACAGAAACTAAGCCTGGAACATGGCAGATTAAATACCGAGCACAGATTCTGTTCCCTGGCAGTTGTTGGGCCGTGGAATTCTCTTCTTGCAGGCGTGTTTCAAGCTACTTGAGATGTCTGGCGGATCTACTTAGAACTGATTACATTTTCGCATTTTAACCGCCACTCTTTGCTCTCTTTGCCTGTTCACATGTAAAAACACAACCTCTAATGGTCCATAGAATCTATTCGGTACCCAACCATTTGAATCAGTCGATCAATGAATTAATTGACCACCTCCATCCTTTTATGCTTCTGTGAACCGTAAACAAATAACCATTCCAAAAAAGAAAGCATTTCATGGTACCAAATATAAAACTCGGAGGACCACTGCTCGCCATTTCGATAACGCGGAGTTTATGTTCAGAAGTCAGATAGCGTTATTTAGCTGATTATGTTTGAAGTTTGGCGGTGATTACAGTCGTCAGGGTCGTTTAGTTGACCTTCGGTGTGTCACGCTCGGCACATTCAGTCTGTTCTTGAGATGTGCTGTGCTATGAAGTCTGAAATAACTGCAAATGATTTAAGACAACAGTTCTTTAATTTTTTCAAATCTAAGGGTCATGTGTATGTCCATTCTTCTTCAACTATTCCTCACAATGACCCCACACTCTTGTTGCAAATGCTGGTATGAATCAGGTAATTCTATATTTCAGCTACTACTTTGCAGTATAAACCTATATTTCAAGGTACTGTGGACCCTAACAGCGAGCTTGGACATCTTAAAAGGGCCTACAATTCTCAAAAATGTATCAGAGCCGGTGGCAAGCATAATGATCTAGACGATGTTGGTCGTGATGTTTACCACCACACATTCTTCGAAATGCTGGGTAATTGGTCATTTGGAGATTACTTCAAGAAAGAAGCGTGTGAATGGGCTTGGAATGTTGACGAAAGTTTGGAAAATACCTAGTGACCGTTTATATGTCACGTATTTTGGCGGTAATAGCTCTTTAGGTTTACAACCCGATGAAGAGGCACAAAACATATGGACTTCAATTGGGTAAGGTGGCTGATCATAATTACTTTTCTGTTTAAAAAGCTTCAAGTATTTTGTTAGTATAGGAAGACTACACCTCTTAGTGACCGAACTAATATCGGTGAACGCTAATACTTTCAAAAAGCTATTTGCATCTAGCGAAATAACTAGGTATTCTGAGATAAGTAGTGATAAGACGATTGAAATGTTTCAATCTGTTGGACTTTAAAGGAATCGATTCCAAGTAGCTGCAGTTTTGACTGATTAGACTGTTTCTATCTAATTTGCTTGCACAATGACAGTCGCGACTTCTTTAGTTCTCTTTCTAACAGAATTTTATCCCAGGTTTAGAGTTTTGAGCATCTTTGTTCGCAGAGTTTAGAAGCATACTTAATTGATCCTGGTTTTCTGGTTTTTGTAATCGAGAGTGGGTGTTCACAGTTTCATTCTCGTAAATTAGGGGGAATCTTTAGGCGAATGGATGTTCCGTTAATGTGTCGGATGGCACTCCATTTCCTTTGTTGGATCTTGCTGTGTTGTCTCAGACCAAGTTATGATATGGGCTACAGTGGTTGGTGAATATTTCAAGGTAGCCAGTAATCTAAATTACATAACCAGCATTGCGTCTGTCTCAATTACTAATAATTTTCTCAATATCCTGTTGACTTACTACTTATTTTCGAACTCGGAGGTAGCGGTGTTTAAATTTAAAATGACTTGACCCTTAGCATGTCGTAAAATTAACTGAGTCTTGCAGATCTGTTTTATTAAACTGAGTACAGGCATCTGCTAATGCTCTCTCGTTACTGCACCAGTCGTTAAAACCCTTTATACTTCTTCCTAATGACTTGAAAGCTAATGCATCTACGGTGTGAAATACTTATTTTTGCAAAAGCTATCCTTTTTAAATTTAGATCACTTAGCGATCACAAGTCATCCTCTATGTCGCCTGGCCTTTTTTGTATCTGCTTCATTTAATTAGCTGGGTCCTTGTCGTACGTTTTAGCTTATCATCATCAACCAGTGTTTGGTTAGCTGGGTACTATTATTGCTTTTACGTAACAGGTGCGATTTACACTAAAGTGTGTCGACTTGCAGTTGATAATGCAGTTAGTGCTGAGGGTGAACAACATTGCTGAAACAAGAATATCTTCAGGGCGTTTGGTTAATAATAAGGTTTTGTAAAGACTCAAGTAAGGCGTAGTTCAAACCATAAGATATGCAGTCTAGAGGTTATCTGCGTTACTATTCGTAGTTCAAGCTTTTGACTTCCGCTGTAGGTGAGTATATTTTACATTCAGGGACTAAGAATTCTCATGAAATGAAACATTAATGTTGAAAATCCGAAGCAACCTACATATTTTTTTCGGTATGAAAACAAACAGTTAGCCTTCTTTCAGTGTATTTGGTTTTATTGCATAGTTTACCTAATGGTGTACTACCTTTTCCCTCAGGTGCCTCGTGTGCTGATTCGGCACAATAAACGAATTGCATAATCGAGAAGTTTTTATGCTAAAACTTGAATTTACCTAATTTTAAGTTACCATGCATTAACTGCTAAGAAGGAATACAAAGCTTTTCTGTTCTAGCTTCTGCACTTCTGAAGCTCACAATGTATTTCGAAGTTCAGATGTAATTGCTGTACTACAGTACCAAATAGCTTATATTTAGTGAATAGAATCTATTTTACCAAACGTTTCTGGATTTCTGAATTTATCATGTTGCATTTAGGCATCATGTAGTTGTCATTTGTGCTGATGTGACTTAGTATTTAAGGGCATTCACTAACAACCTTTTCATATAGACTACACTTATTTTCTTATTATTTAATCGGATGTAGAACATATTTATGCTCTTTTAATGCAAATAAATCCCACCGATTTGATTTACTTTTCATTTCGATTTCACTTATCTTTTTAAGAATGCCAATATTAAGTTTATTCAGTACTTCTCACAAATTTCCACTTCTATGTGTTTATGACTTACTGTGATTTGGGCTAACACACGATTGCTGTTTATGTATTTAGTTGTCCTAGATCTCAACACTCCTCTGAACTATTGTCACGGGTTTAAACCGTCGTCTGCGTAATTGGGGGTTAACCGGCATTCCTATCAATAACTTATGCATAACAGATATATCTTGTAACATGTCACATGAATTTATGCACAGTTATCGAATGACGTTACATTTTCTTCTACAGTAAGTAATACAAACCTAGCTCTGTTAAAAACTTTTTCAAACACTTACATCATTATGGTTAGCCTAACGTGAAGGCTTAGTGAATAGGCTTAATCGTGCACATTATATCTGAGCAATAATAATCTTATTTCATTTTACTCAAAGAAAATGTTTATTATATCACTAACAAAAGCTATTATACCCTTGATTAAAAAATTAGCTTACCAACGAACCGTGTGCTTCCGTTTGGTATGAAGGAAAACTTTTGGGAAATGGGCGAAACTGGCCCTTGTGGTCCTTGTTCTGAAATACATTATGATCGGATTGGTAATCGTGACGCCTCTCATTTGGTTAATCAAGATGATCCGGACGTGCTGGAAATATGGAACCTAGTGTTCATACAATTTAATCGGTATTCTTACCTTATGTGATAAGTGCTTCAATGTTGTTTACTTTTCATGCCTATTATTGTATATTGGACTTAGTTGCGAATAACATTATTGTTAATCAGTTGTAATCACAATGTACAAGTACCCCACTATTAGTGCATTTTATCCTATTATCTACTAAGGACAGTGTACTGTACCACAGATAGCTTTATTCTACTATGTGTCTGTGAAACATTGCCATTAAAGGTAGCGAACATGGGAGGCTTCAAACGTTTGTCTTCATTGCCTTCGTTGTATAGGTCGTGTGTCATAGTACTACCAATTCAATAACGTTAATGTCGGGTGTAGAGTTTTAGGTAGAGGAGAAAGTTAGTTGAGGAGGTTGTAAACCATCATCTGTTCAGATGACTAAGACATATGTTACATATATCTAGTCACCATATACCGTATCGCACAATATTAGCTGAAGTAGGTTTAGGCTGAAAGATGTTGAGTGCGACCAAAGTAAACATGGAATCAGTCGGTGAAGTCTTTGACTCTTGGTCTGATCCATGTAGGTGAACGCAGTTGGGTTCCACATGACAGCCCAAGTCGGCGTTTGAAGACTAGGTGATTTGGCATGGGATCGACGCCAGTAGTGCAGATGTATCCACACATTTTCATCAAAATCGTCATATCACATTTCGTTACTGTCCTACCCCTTCTAACTCTTCATATGGTTTTTTACCACTTTGTATGTATTCTTCCTGTTTTTCTGCCTTTATTCTGTGGAACTGTGGCTCAGTAGTTCGGGGAGATGACTACCAACCGCTGGGTCACGGGTTCGGTCCCTCCTCCACTTACAGAGGTTTAGGCAGCTAGGTAGTATGACTAGCCCTCACATGATAGGTGTGGCTCATTGTCTAGTGTACGAATGTGCATAAAGTAGCTGATTGCGTCCCCCACCTTCTTGATGTGCCGTTGGGGAGCGTGGTAAGCTGAACCGTTGCGCTGTATTTTCGGATCCTATTTTGATATTGGCTGACTTAATGAGTTTCCACTTTCTATTTGATGGTGCTATGATAGTGTTATGGACAGGGAACTTCTAAGCAGTAGTTTGAACATTTACACGGACTTTAGTTATTGCAGTCTTGGCAATGTCGTAATCTATTGGGTCCCATATAGTGTATATGGCTTATAGTTAGATGTGTCTGTTAATCATGCAATTTTCAGACTTCTGTGAGTATTTATTTCGTAATTTAGAATTAATTTCTGGAAATCTTTTGTGATTAAAAAAGGTATTATTTATTACTCCTCAGTTTTGACAAGTCATTCATAACCGTATTGATCCCCCCCATGTTTTTGCTGATTATTCAAGAGAAGAAGGTGGATGTTTAAGACCGCTTCCTGCAAAACATGTTGATACTGGTATGGGATTTGAACGCACTCTATCAGTTATTCAGGGAAAGCGATCCAATTACGATACAGATTTATTTACACCCTTATTTGAAGCTATTGAAGCTGTAAGTTCCAAGTTGCATGTTTTTCTAAGTCATTTATTTTGTTATTCACCTAGTAAGAATTTGTCATATATAAGAAGTATAATGCAATACAAAAAATGTACTAAGTTGAAATTATTACATCTAAATGAATCTTTCTGAAAGATGGATTGTATTCTTTGATTCATCGAAAATATTTCACGTCTAGCACTTCCACACTCATTTATTGGCAATACATACATCTGATGCACTTCATTATATGCTTGTTGTATGAGGACCAATGTGTTTTTGTGCTATATTAGGTGATACATTAATCAGGTTTCCGTTATTGTCTGTTTCTTACATCCACTGTTTATTAAAAAAATAAACAGAGATATCTTGTTCTACAGATAACGTTCCTTTTTGTATTTCTACTCCACTCAGCCACTTGATCATTTTTCAAAACAATATGCCTTAACTAATGAGCCACAACTCTGCTGCTGCCAAATTTACGCCGTAATATTTCTCCACACTATACTTGTTTGTCGGTGCGTTAACCTTCGTTTTGTATCTTTTTAAAAAATAATTCGAAATCTTATGGAAGACTCATAATTTTTTGAAAAAAATATCTATATTTAACAGGGCACTGGTGCTAGACCCTATACAGGTAAAGTGGGTTCTGAGGATACTGACGGAATTGATATGGCATATCGCGTATTGGCCGATCATGCTCGAGTGTTGACGATAGCCCTTAGTGATGGTGGGCGTGCTCAAAATACCGGCAGAGGATATGTACTTCGTCGTATTTTAAGGCGTGCTGTTCGGTTTGCAGTAGAAGTTTTAAATGCTAAACCTGGATTTCTGGCTACTTTAGTTGATGTTGTCGTTAAGACATTGGGAGACGCCTTCCCAGAAGTAACTCGAGATCTCGATACTGTGAGTTTACTGACTTACTTTATGAATTCTATTTTACATTCAGCTATATGAGCAATAATATGTTTTCTGACTTCTGTTTTAGAGATTTCGCCATTTTATGGTTTTCCATATTAAGAAAGAAGTCCTTTTGTGATGACATCCTAAATGAAAACAATCTCATCTCATAAATCATAGCGCTTTGGCAGTTTAGGGGTAGTAGTGTTTGAATGGCCTTAGTTTGGTTGTACGGATTTGATTTCTCATTTGATGAGCATATGGATTAAATTGATATAATTTACTAGCATTTAAAAAGTGAAGTTTTGTGTCTAATCACTGGTACATAACTAATGTATTTTGTAATTACTCTGCAGTACCTAAAATGATTTTATTGAAACTGCTTTGTGTAATTGGTGAGTTTTCGGCACAGATATGATGGTATTTATTCGGGACCTTTATTCCTATGCTCTGGTATGAAAGGGTCTCCCACATTTCAAGCCATTGTCTTATCGCTCTTTGTGGTTGTAAAACATGGTCATGAAAGCTGAGGAACGCGAAAAAGCTGTAGGTATAAAATTACCATTACCATGTAGTGAAATAAATAAGAAAGCTACTTCAGTCTTATGCTTAAATTTGACATTTATTCAATTTTACTGGACTCAGTATAGATGGAATAAGTAAGCATGCTTGATTTTGATTTATACGTACCTATTCCTCGAAGCGCATTGTTGATTAGGTTACAAGCCAAGTAAAACAGCATTAGAGTACGCAGTTTAAAAATTTTACCAACGTGTATAATCAATGGTTGCTGAGATGGTTGCATAGAAAAGCATGGGCTTTTACAAAAAAACAAAATAGCACCTAATAGCTACATCTGAGTGCATGTCAGCTAACTGCCGCTAAGTCAGTCACAGTCTTAGGGTAGGTAAGGATTTTCTCTGTAAACAGACACGACGCAAACTACAAATGAAACATGAATTACCTAGCTGCTCAATTAAGACCCATGTCATAAATATCTGTGTTCATACCTCAGCGTAGTTTTATCGTGACCATTTCTAATTGAGAATAAATCTATTGCTATAAGAATTCAGAATATGTCACATTTCCATAAGCCACCATTGGCGAGGATCAGCGGAGGATTGTCGCTCTTTCTGGAGTACGTGTTTGGAGTTCGGTCACGTGTTAGTGGAGGCATGTGTACAATCGCAACTTAGTGGTTACGGAAAACACAGCAGTGAAGCATGTGTTTTCATTTAGAAGATGAGAACGTGAAGTACTATTGAGGGAGGCTGGTAGCTTAGCACTTATGTCAACGTAACAGCAATCTTCTTCCTGAATTAACCCGGGGTGATATTAAGTCTGCTGTAGAGACAGCGGTAGGCTACATCCAAAGTTTAGCAAACACTAGTGGGTTTCCACAACTTCATTTGAACTAGTTGATGTGAGAATACTCATCCCAACAAGCTTTGGTCGCAATGGAGGGCAAAAGCAACCAAAGGTTTTTGCAATGGCAGCGAGTATTGGTGCATAGCGAAAGCAAGAGAGGTTCAGAAGGCATCAGGACTAGGTAATACCCGGCAATTATTTAGGCTTGTTAAGGATTGAGACAGGTCGACAATGGTTGGTGAAACTATTACCGAAAAGGGTGGCACGCTGATAACCTCCCAGTACATGCGGCTGGAACGTTGGACAAAACGCTTTGAAGCACAGTTCTACTGGCCCACAGCAACGCTTTGGTTGCCCAGCATCCAGCCTGGATTGTAGACGTTGACCCTTCAACTTTCTTTGAAGTTGAGAAGACTGTTTGTAACGTGAGACGATGCAAAGCAGTAGGACCTAATTGTTTACCAATCAAAGTTTCTCAAGGATGAATGTAGAGAATTAATACCTAGAGTAACGGAGATGCTGGGTAGCGTATGTGAATCAGAGGTAGTCTCATCGGACTAGTCTACTTCACTGATTATTCCTGTTTTTTAGAAAGGAGAAAAGTCCTCCTGTGACAATCGGCGGATCAGTTTGACTAATATCGTGTCCAAAATCTTAGCGTCCATAGTCATCCCACGCCTAACTGGAAAACTAGGCATTTATCAAGTTTCATTCCTGGACGAGGATGAATCGATCAGATTTTCACCTTTCGACAGGTTCTGGAACACAGGCATACTTTCTGTCGGCCAACATTCACCATATTTCTGAACACGAAGACGGCACTCGACTCTGTCAAATGTAAGGCGTTATGGCAGTGTCTGACTAAAAAGAGTACCGTGCAAGTATGTAATGTTAATCAAGGCTCTCCACTCGAACTCACGCAGGCGTGTAAGGACCTATAGAGAGTTAGCAACTGAATCGCTGATGACTAGTGGTGTTCTTCATGGGTGCCCTCGGTCACCTTTCCTATTCAACTTCGGTTTGAATTTATTAACGGACACAACCTTTGGCACCTCTGACTTCACAGGGTTCGGTTTACTTTTTGGAGGTCATTTGGTTGTCTCCAATTACACAGACAATATTGTCCTGTTAGGTGGAGACGCTGACAAAATGGAGGGTCTTCTGAACGCGTTAAGCAGAAATTTGAGTATGTTTGGCACTCGTTTCTCTGGCACCTGTCAAATCTAACATGATGTTTTAGGACTGGTGTGCAACTACTCCTAGTTTAAGGATAGGGAGTGAGGGGGTTGAATGTTTTGACCACCTCACTTACTTGAGGAGTTGCATCAATCCGAAGGGGGTAGTCGCTAACGAGATCTCAGCTCGGATACAGAAACCCCGTTTGGCATTTGCCAACTTCGTCATCGCTGGTACTGACTAGCGAAATATCCGGCTACCTATCGAAGGACAAGTATACTGCGTTGCAGTCCGTTCTGTCCTGTCGTACGACTGTCAGACATGACCGTTAAAAGTAGAAGATATGATAGGTATCTTCGAAACATTGCTCACATTTAGTGGCATCACCGTGTGAGCGATGTTGAGATCAGGCGAAGGGTACTGGGCAAGGTAGGCAAGTCGATTGATGAGGTTGTGAAACTTCATCGACTGAGATGGTTTAGATATGTACTGCGCATGCCGAGCCACCATCTACCTCGAATCGCAATGCTAGGGAAGTTGGATTAATTTTTGAAAAGGTTCAGGATGACCAGACGAAGACGCATCGGTGCATGAGGTCAGACTTTTTGTTTTTGGTGTTTTAGGAGGTGTAAACTGTCCGGTTGGTTTCCTTGAGATGGTAGGAACCAATGGTCGGCAACCATTCGTGAAATAGCTGGAAATCGATCACAATGGCGCAGTTGTATTCATTCTTATACGTCTTCCAATCTCTAGTATTTTCACTGATCTTCATTTGGGAATTCTTTTTCCTCTCATACACCATTGTCTACTTAAATATCATTCTCTCCCCAACTACTTTTTCTCTGCATGCTAGTGTAAATTGTGCCAACTTGAACCCATCATCTTGTGTGAGAGTTCTACGTTGATTTTGTCAGTCTACCAACGACAAACCAAAGAATAAAGTGCACAGAAAGGTCAATAGTTTGGTGGTGTATATCCTTGTTGAAAACACTTTATTTTCCGTTGCTCAACTATCAGGCACAGGTGTTATAACACTTAAAACTTATAACACTAAAGAACCTCCAGTTTTCACAGTTAGCGCTAATCGTTTCTAAATATTCAACGGTTATGAAGCTCTCGAAACTCCATCAGTATCCATTCTCGACTGAAAGTAATTTTTTCAACTGCAGATTGATGGAAATTATTTATTTGGCCATGAAACAATATGAAAAGTCTGCAAATATGCACCAATGGGGAATATGGATTCCAACTATATGCGTCAAGCAAACCTGTAGACATTGACAGACTTAACTTAAATGTGACTCAATAGTGTGAAAATATGATTGTCTCCTGCAGACTCAACTGTGTTTTGCTTTGAGTAGCCCCACACTAGGTAAAGTTTACACCTGTGTCACTAGGCTTGTGCCTTTTAGCTAGATTAAAATCATTCCCATTTCTCCTTGAATTGTGTAGTAGTGTAACTCAAATATTTTATCGATAGCCTATTCAATAAATTAAGATTTTTCAACCTAATGAGTTGTAACCAAGATTTTAGATAATATTTTGCAATCTACTTGTTAATCTATGAATGATAACTTTTCCGTAGCCCTGCTTTTTCCTTCATACTGGATTTGTATGTTTTAACGCAGGTGAAGGAGCTTATAAATGAAGAAGAACAGCAGTTTCTGGTTACTTTGAAGCGTGGTCAGCGTCTTCTGAATCGTGTGATCCAAGATTTAAAAGGATCAAGTGGTAAAGATGCTACGCTGTCTGGTGAAGTTGCTTGGCGCTTATATGATACCTATGGATTTCCCTTAGATTTGACACAATTAATTGCTGAAGAACATCATTTCAAGGTATTAGGAGCTATAACCTGATTTTGTCCCACTTTAAGTTCACTGGTGTTACACAAAATGTGATTTGGAACGATACGTGTATTATAATGCCTTCTTTCATAATGTTTGCGTCCGGACAAGAAACTGAAAGATAAATCCTTTGGGTGATAAGGTTTTCGGTTTCAACGTGACCGCTACTGCGTGTAGTTATTGAATTGGTTTGTAGCTCAGTGGTTTTGAATACTAAACACAAAAATATCTTGCCTACTTCACTGCCGGTGTAGCCGGGTAATATCACTTACCGTATTTCAAATGTAACTTTCGAGCTAATAAAATGTATCAATGCGATTCATTGATTATGCCTTTGACAGATCTTCCATGTCTTTTAGAAATTAAAGCTTATATTTCGAAGTAGTTTTCGTCACCGACTAAGACTGGTTGAAGAACTGTTGAAATATTTTCTCAATATTCTATTTTACCATGAAAATCAAATAGGAAGCCATATGTGCTATATAAGAAGTAGAATTTTAGAAACACTCTTGTAGGTACGCGAGCCGAATTCCGTTGCTGACTGTGTCACATTGTGCAAGCCATTATTTTCAGGCTGATGTATCTATTTTTATTTCTCAGAGATGTAAAGTTGAACAGGGTCAGTTCAAACGGCAGTCAGATCATCGCATGATATCAGTCCACAAGGCTGTCAACTACTAGTTTGTGTAAGGAACTGTGAACCAGTTAAATAGAGTCCGCTCATTTGTAGAAAGTTTTATTGATGAAAGTTAGATGCTAAAACTGATATCTGATTGGTCCCAGTAGCAAGATGTCTTCACTGTTTATTTACCCGAAAATCGTGAACATGTCACTTATAAGCGTGTTCATTTCTTAATAATAATAATAATAATAATAATAATAATAATAATAATAATCGTTATTGTTATTATTATTATTTGTCCCTTGGGTTCCTAGTGGAACATAGGGCTTCAGTAACACGTCTCCAGTGCACTCTGCTCTCTGCAAACTTTGAACCTGGCCCAGAAACTTTCAATTCTTCCTCTCACGATCTCCCCTATGTCACCCTCGCCTTGGACGCCTAACTCGTCGTTTTCCATCTGGGTCCCACTCGAGGGCCTGGCGCGTGATGTCCCCATTCGGCCTTCTCAGTGTATGCCCAATCCATCTCCACTTCCTTCTGCATATTTGTTGAGTTATAGGTTCTTGTTTGGTTCGTTGCCAGAGTTCCTTGTTGCTTATTCTTTCTGGCCATCTGAACTTCAGTAACGAGCCAGCGTAGGCAGTTGTTGATGAATGTCTGTAGTTTGTTGGAAATGCTTTTCGTAACGCGCCAAGTTTCTGAACCATATAGCAGCACTGACTTGACATTGGTGTTGAAGATCCGGATCTTGTTCACGCTGTATGCTGAGTGCAGTGCAGTAGATCTCCACATTGGTTTCAGATTAATGAAGGCCTGTCTTGCTTTTCCGATCCTGGCTGGCTTTGAAGTCCTCGTCTGTGCCTGTGCCGCCCGTAGTTGAAACAGTGCTTCCCAGATAGGTGAAAAAGGCTACTTCCTTTAAGTTTCTCCCGTTGATGGTGATTGGTGTTTGTTGTTGTTGGTTGGGTATCTTCATCACCTCTATCTTCTCTACGTTCACTTGAAGTCCCGTCTTCGCTGCCTCGCCTCTTTCGTCAACTTGTTAGTTTTTGCCTGTAGATCTTCAAGTATGTGCGATATAAGACACAAGTCATTGGCGAAATTCAAATCTTCTGGGATCTTTTCCCCGGTCCACCGTATCCCCCTCTTCTCGCTCCTCACTGTTTGCTGCATGATCCAGTCCATCGCAATAAGGAAGATGATCGGTGATAGTAGACAGCCTTGTCTTGCTTCTGTCTTCACTTCAAAGGCATCACTGAGCTTCCCATTGTGGATTACTTGGCATGTGGCATCTTCATATAGGTGTTGAATGAGATTGATAAAGGTTTGTGGTATTCCGTAGTGTTGAAGCAATTGCCAAATTACTTCTCGGTTGACGCTGTCGAGGCCTTTTCAAAGTCGATGAAGTTGAGGTAGAGAGTTGACTGCCATTCTATACTCTGTTCTATGATGATGCGTAGCATAGCGTTGCAATTTGATCTGCATATGATTTGTGCTTCTTGAATCCAGCCTGTTCCGGTCGTAGTTTTGAATCCAGTGCATCCTTCAGTGTCTGCTGTATGGTGCGGCCTAATATTTTGCTTGCTCTGGGTGGACAGGAGCTGGATTCCGTGCCACTTCTTGCAAAGACATATGTCTTCCTTCTTCGGGAGTTTGACAAGATAGCCCCTTTTCCAATCGCCAGGTACCTTTACTTCCTTCCAGACCTTCTGCAGTAGTGGTGTGAGCATGTCCGCTGTTATCCCTGCGTCTGTTCTCAGTGCTTTTGACGGCATTCCATCTGGTCCTGCTGCTTTCCCACACTTCAGTAGTCTTATGGTGTTTAGGACTTCGACTTTTGGTGGAGTATTTGTGTTCATTTGTAGTTGTGTGGCTGCAGGTGGTATTTCTGGACGAAGTGCAGGTGGTCGTGGTGGTGGTCGATTCAAGAGGTTTTATGAAGCGGTCAGCCCATCGTTTCCTTTGTTTCTCCTCTTTGGTAATCAGATTTTCTTCATCATCTTTCATTGGTTTCATCTATGTTTTTCTCTCCCTCTGTCCATATAAACGTAGTGAGTTTTTATTCCAAACTGACTGTCTTTTCATTATTAAAATAATTTCAATGTGACTAGTGATAGCTACTGAAGAAGGTGCCGATCTCTGAATGCTGCAGTTAGACTAGTTTAAAACTATGGTCTTCAAGTAAAATTATGTCAAAGTGATTTGGAAATAACCAAGGAATTCTGCCAGTCTCCTGATCGCGATGTTTAAGTGTGTCATCTTTACAGTATCTGGTGGGGTCTACGCTGCATAATATGATCAGTTCGATCTTTAGAAATTTTCTTAACATGTCATCATTATTTCATTTATTCCCTAACTGTTGTTTCAGGTTGATTTAGACGGCTATGAGAAAGCCAAAGAAGAGGCCCAATTACGTAGTCAAGGTGGATTTTGTGCAGGTGGATCAGTTATCGATCTTGATGTACATGCGTTAGCTGAATTAAAGAATAAAGGTGTACCACTTACAGATGATTCTGAAAAGTTCAACTACTCAGCAGATGTTGAGGGAAACTATGGTAATTTCATTTTAGTTACCCGTGTGTTATTTCAACTTCAAATTTCCTTTCGTAATCAATTTTCATCTACGTTGGTGATGGTCCATACTAGGGAGGGGTCATTTTCAGTCTTTTGAAACCACTCTGCTAGTTTCTCTTTTCACACCCAATTATTATTATTATTATTTGTCCCTTGGGTTCCTCCTAGTGGAATATAGGGCTTCACTATCACGTCTCCATTTCACTCTGTTCTCTGCAGTCTTTTAAACCTGGCTCCATGACTACCCACAAGCTTTTATTTCTTCCTCACACCATCTCCTCCATGTCATCCACGCCTCCGACACCCAACTCGTCGTTTCTCATACGGGTCCACTCGAAGGCCTGACCTGACGCGTGATGTGGCCAAATCGTCTTCTCAGTGTACGCCCAATCCAATCCATCTCCACTTTCTTCTGCATATTTGTTGGGCGATGGGTTCTTAGTTGGTTCGTTGGCAGGCCAGAGTTCCTTGTGCTTATTCTGATCTTTAGTATCGAGTGAGCGTAGGCTGCAGCTGTTGGAAATGCTTCTCGTGACGCACAAGTTTCTGAACCATATAGAAGCACTGACTTGACGTTAGTGTTGAAAATCTGGATCTTGTTCTTGATGCTGGGTTGAGTGCAGTAGATCTCCACACTGATTATTTCAGATTGATGAAGGGGTGTCTTGTTGTCTTTCCGATCCTGGCTTTGACGTCCTCATCTGTGTCACCACTTGTAGTTGAGACAATGCTGCCTAGGTAGAGAGGCAAGTGAACGAGACAACTTCCTTTAGATTTCTCCCATTGATAGTGATTGGTGCTTGTTGCTGTTGATGCTGTTGTTGGTTGGGTATCTTCATCACCTCTGTCTTCTCTACGTTCACCTGAAGGAAGTCCCATCTTTGCTGCCCCGCCTCTTCTGTCAACTTGTTAGTTTTCGCCTGTAGATTTTCGAGTTTGTGCAACAAGATATTAGACAAACCATCACCATCGACGAAAGCCAAATCTTCTTCTGGAGTCTTTTCATCAGTCCAGCCAGCGTATGCCCCTCTTCTCGCTCCTCACTGTTTGTTGCATGATCCAGTCCAGTCGATTCGACCACAATTAGGAAGATGATCGGTGATAGTGTAGGTGGTAGCCTTGTCTTACTTTTGTCTTCACTTCGAAGGCGTCACTGAGCTTTCCATTGTGGATCACTCGGCATGTGAGGTCTTCATATAGCTGTTGAATGAGGATGATAAAGGTCTATGGTATTCCATAGTGTTGAAGCAGTTGCAAAATTACTTCTTGGTTGACGCCTCGGTCGAAGGCCTTTTCCAAATTGCTGAAGTTGAGGTAGAGGGTTGACTGCCATTCTATGCTCTTTTCTTTGATGATGTAAAGGGTAGTGTGGTAATTTGATCGGCACATGATTTTTTTTCCTGAAGCCAGCCAGCCTGTTCGGATCGTAATTTGAATCCAGCGCATATTTAGTCCCTCCGGATGATGCGGCTCAATGTTTTCCTTGGGGTGGACAGGGGTGAAGCATGATTCCGCGCCAGTTCTTGGAAAAACATAGGTCTCCCTTCTTTGGGAGTTTGACAAAGTACCCCTCCTTCCTTCCTTCCAAACCTTCTGCAATAGTGGTGTGAGCATGTCTGCTGTTGTCTCTACGTCCTTTTTCAGTACTTCTGGAAGAATTCCATCTGGTCCTAGTTAACTTATTATTATTACTATTAGAACACAAATATGGTTTAGCAAGGGGACCAGCAGATACGCCACCCAAAATAATGTAACATTATGAAGACAATGTGAAGGAAAGTGGGTAAAAATAAAACACAATAAGAATAGAATAGTTAGAAGGGTTGTCCAGTAAGATACATTCAAAACAAAACATTCATTACTTTTCAGCCGTAGAAGATAGAAGGAAGCTACAGCATGACTGCCGCTGGTCTCGATTCTGCACCATATCTGATAACTTCTCAAGCCACTGAGTTGGGTAATCTCTCGGACCCCACCCAGGGAGTCGTGATGCATTAACGGATGCTAACCCTATACAACTGTCTTTCATCCCACCGCGCCACTTCATACACTGACCACCTCTCTGCTTCTCCCATCCAGTCCCAGGGCTAGCAAACAATGAACAATGTGGAAGTCGTTAGGAATGCATGCGTAACACACTTCTAAACCACTGAAGCCAGTATTTCCACATTGAGGATCTTCATCATGCCCAAACACACGCTGTCGTACCTAGCAATTACATGATGTTGCCACCGGATACGGAGAAAACGATGATCGAACACAAAGTTGTTGCATATTCTCAACTTGGAGAGTTCAAGTTCCACAGGTATAGAGCAGAACTGCTCGCATTGAAGGGTTGTAAACCCAACCGTTTATGGTGAGATTAACGTCGTGACGGCGTCTCAGGTGACCCAGATTTACGTATGCCACTCTAGCTTTCGATATGCAGTTGGAAATCCCACCACACACCTCCGCCAGCATTCACATCGCTACCCGGATACTCAGACTTTTCGACTACTTCCAACGGTTCACCACCAGGGGTTAGTGCAGTCACAGGCTCCTTCCAGTCTTGCAAAAGTACTTTGCACTTCAATGGTGCAAAAAACATACCTACGGACACCAATCGCCAGCTGACTAAGTGCGATTTGAATAGCTTATGTGTTATCTCACAGTAAGATGATATCGTCCGAATATTCCAAGTTGAATAGCTACTATCCGGGTAGTAGATCTACACCACCATCTCTCACCTCTTTCAGAGCTGTCTCAAGAATATCATCGACGGCAAAGTTAAAGAGAAATAGGGCAACCCTGCCTAACTCCACTGCTGGTTTGCAACAATGGAAACAGGTAATTTTATGCCCTCACTCAACCTGAGGTGTTACTGTATAGGGATTTCAAGATGTTAAGAAATTTCTTGGCCACGCCTCTCTCCAAAAGGAAATTCTAGAGTACAGCTCTGTCCAACGAATCGACGGCACCCCTAATATCAAGAATCACGATTGTTGGCTTGCGATACGTAAAGCGGTGTTCAAACATCCGGTGGAGGGTAAACATATGATAAATACGTCCACGACTTGAACGAAACCCGATCTACTCCTTCCGATTCATTTCCCCACGTGTTTTGCAAAGTTCTCAAAGTATCAGCCAATGCTTTCGATGCTACCGGTAATAGTCTAGTATCCCGGTGATTGTCACATACATTACATAGGCCTTTTTTAAAGATGGGCACAACGATTGCTTCATTCCAAAGTGATGAAACACTCATTCTACCATATCTTCTCAAACAGTTTAGTCAGTTCCCTGACTAGTCATTCCTCTATCCTAAAAATGGTTCCTTACAGACCTCCGCTTCCTTAGGTAAGTCAGTGTTAACTGAGTATGGAGCAAGATACACTGAAACTGAGGATGCTGGAGCCGTTGACCAGCTAATCTGATTTTTGAAGTGCCCCACTTAGCGTTCCAGGCGTCTTCGTAGATTGTTTATTGGCGTACCATCGGTCTCACTGAGACTTGTATTCTTCCTGCAAGTGGCTCGAATGAGTTAAAACAGCTTCCGATTATTGCCGGATATAGCTGCTGCTTCCATCTCACTCGCGCGTTCTAAACACTAAGTCTCACGGTCCCTGCATAAGCTTTGTGTAATCTTTCGTGTAAGAGACTTCCTCAAGTCATTATACTCGCTATCCGCCGGAGTGGTTTGACAGACGTCGAGAAGTTGCAGGTGAGCTCACAAAGACTCAGTGTTTATTAGCGGGACATTCTTCCAAATCATAAGTGGCTTCACTCACCATTTTCCTTGTGTCTTGCAACTGCAGCCAATGCTAGTCTACATTTTCAGGAGGATCGGTAGCTAGGCTTAAATTTAATTCGGATTGGTATTTGGCTTCAATGTTAGGTGCAAATAATTCGCTTGCCTCGACCTGTTTAGGACGATAATTTTGATGACCGCCAAAACTCAAGATGAGCTTAGTATACACTAAAGCGGGATCAAAGTTCAGACAAGTACTCCATATGTAGCGACAGTCCTGTATGCACCCATACCATTAGTAGCTGATTGCGATATGATCTATCTGAGTCCAGGCTTGAGTGACAGAGGGGAGACGCCAAGTAGTACAACGGTGCTGATTGTGCAGAAAGTTGGTGGTGGCCAGAAATCGGTTGTGATCTGCGCAAAGCTAAGGAAGATGACCCCAATTATCCGACCTGAGGCCGAATAGTCCCCATTGACCATCTAAACGACTCTCCTGTAAATCTAGACGGCCGACTTGCGTATTCAGGTCCCCAGCTAGCACTACGATGTCTGTCGAGCGCTTTGGTTGAGGTCACTCAGTTGATGATAGAATTCATCCTTGGTTGCAATCCGTCGGAGCATAGGCAGAGATGACAAAGAGATATCGTTTCTCTTCCCGGTTACTTCCTACTCGAGTTGAACCTTCTAGACTAACAGCACACAGACGACTGTTGGTGGAGATCCAGTCGCGTAGTGCAGCTTCGGCTCGAGCGGTTGCTGATGCCACAGGGTCGCCGGATTAGCGCACATGAAACATACTTTTGAGCTGACACATGGGGAACTAGTTTAAATCACTTCACTGGGATCTTGTATGAAGGTCTCTGAGATGCAGTATACATCAATAACAAGGCTTTCCGGGGTCCTAGCCAAACCCGCTTGTTGTCCGATCTGCAATAAAAAATACAGTTCATGTGTAAAAACAGTATAATATCAATAAGTTGAGCAATCAGTTAAAAAGTTCTCAGTACGGAGAGCTTCAGTATTCTCAGAAAAGTTGATCAATAGCTTCGAAATCTTTTTATATTGTAAGTCCATGGTTCATATCTTGTGTGAGGGCTGGGGTTACTGCCCGGGTGCCCAGACCGCAAAAGGTATCCAGTTACTATGCAAAGTCGGACAACGGACTTCACTCGCCCAAAACTCCGAAGTTCCGGACCATGAGAATGTATATTGTGTTTAACAAACGTGCATCTGGGGCCCAAATTTGGCCAG